CTGCGACAAATGACAGTGGGGTGAAAATGCCCCTCGAGTAAGGGTATTTGCGGACTTTTTTCCCTTCTTTTCTTTGTTTAAATACTATGGGGGGGTCATTTTAACCCCTCAAATATTATATAGTACTTCTACCTGATTTTTTTTTTGGGTAGTTATTTTATAATATAATATATTATCATAGTACCATAGTACGAATAAATTAATATACTATTGATACATGGACCACTGTCAACATGTGTCAAAGATGTTTCTTAAAAAAAATATATACTATTGATACTATAGTAGTATTAAATGTTAGGTTAACTTTCTCAAAAAAAAAAAGTAATAAATGTTGTCAATGTCATATATCAATAATAAATGGTCAATCTCGTCTTTTTAAAAATAATATAATATTACTACTGTAGTACAAATTTGTTGAATATTGTTGACTATCAATACCAAAGAACAAAAGTTATTAAGATAATACAATATAGTACAAGCACCTACAAGACAAATATATTAAAGTATTAATATATTGATAATACAAGTTGCAATTTAAAACTATAGAACAAATAAGGAAAATGCTCTCTCTCTCTCTCTCTTCCCATTTCTACATGGCTCCTCTCTCTTTTCTCTTTCTCTCTCATCCCGTCACCCCCACACTCTAGGGCTGCCCTGCCCCCATTGAAACATGGGTTTGCATGTAATTGATGGATTACGGATGCCTGCATAAGAACAAAGAGGTACTGCTTAATTAAAAGTCATATTAATAAACCTGCAAAAAGAATTTGAAGCCATTTTAGTAAGCCACAATTATGGAATCCATGCTATTCAGATACATATGGAGATAAAAAATGAGCCATACATGTATCAAGCTGAAGAATGCCATATGGGGAGATGTGGCTGGGATTCTCCTTCAGCTGTTGGCTGAAGGTATTATCATCAATAGGAATGACAGAATTATGATGACGGAAGGAGGAGCTATGATTAACGATTTCTCGATCTCATTGATGGTCACGAGTGTCGATAGCAGTTTCTGACTTGAGAAGGATGGTTTTTTGGTTGAGTTAGATGCAACATTGGGTGCATGGACCTTGGAAGACTTGGTGTATTGATGTCATGAAGTCGAGTTCTCTCTTCAGAGAGAAAAAAAAGTGCCTCGCTTTCTCTCTCTGTTTTTTTTTTTGGTTTGGAAGAGGGGGGTATGAGTTGTCAACAAAGCATGGTTTCTCGTTTGGAGATTGTTGCCAGCATACGGCTTTGACTTGCCAATGAAGTGGAAAGTTTTCTAAACTAATAATCAGTCTCTTCCAGTTATATCAGAACTTATTAAGCTCTTCATTTATGTGGGCAGGAAAAGTAAATTTCGATGACTTAACCAATGGGGTTCTTTTTTTTTTAACATGATTAACCAATGGGTTCTTAAACCTGTTTCAGACCATTTGGTCTATCATTATCAATACCTTGGTGGTTGGTAGTGGTCCAACCCCCTTTTGCTTGAAAATATGTGGTTGGAACTTGTAACATCCTGCCTCCTTGAACTTGGTGGCATGAGGTAATATGGAAGACAAATGGATCTCTGAGCTGAAACCTATGTTCTTGCTAACAAGGAGATTTAGTTAAGCTTTCCCTAAGTGGATTTGGATTGACTGCTCTTTCTTCTTTTGTTCTTTTTTAAAAAATTTGTTTGTGATTGCTTTATATGGTCTGTCTTAGTCTTTCTGTATCTTTCAACGGAACTTGATGTGCCTTCCATTATTGAATATGTTTCTCATGAAAAATGGGAGGAGTCGTCTAACTTGTGATCGGTTGTGGAACGAGTCCATGTTTGGTCACATAAGTGTAGAGAAAGCAAAAGGTCCTTCAAGATATCGGTGACCTTGATAAGGAGGAAGAATATTCCAGCCCAACAGAGATGAGCAGAACTAGAATTAAATTGTGAAGTGTGATGCAGCACAAAAATAAATTTGCTGGCGGTAGAAATCTTAGGTTGCATGACATAATAAGGGGATGAGAATGCATACTTATTTCCATAAGGTTGCATGTGTGACAAGAAGGGGTTCTCTGGTGTGGATTTTTACTTAATATTCAAGGAGGTAGAATTAAAAGATATACAAAAGTGTGCGAACTATCAAGGGATCAAACTTATGGGCCACATTATGAAGCTGTGGGAGAGAGTGATTAAGCAACGACTACAACATGAAATGAGTTTATCAGAAAATCAATTCGGTTTTATGCTAGGGAAGTTAATAATTGAGGCTATTATCCTACTTTGGCAAAGGATTGAAAAGTTTAGGGCGAAGGGAAAAGACCTCCACATGGTCTTTTATTGATCGAGAGAGAGCTTATATACCTCGAGATTTAATATGTTGGGTGTTGAAAAAAGAAAGGAGTCTCTAAATTCTACATTGACTTGTGAGAGATATGTACGAGGGAACGCTAACTAGTGTGTGAATAAGTAGTGGAGAAACGAGTGATTTTCAGTGATAATAGGTCTACATCCAGGGTCAGCATTGAGCTCATATCTCTTTGTCTTAGTTATGGACACTATTTAACTATGCACATACAAGATGAGGTACCATGGTGTATGTTGTTCATGGACGACATAGTTTTGATTGATGAGACTCGAAACGACATCAATACAAAGTTAAAATTTTGGAGGGATGTTTTGGAATCTAAAGGTTTTAAAACTAACCAGACTAATAGTATATGGAATGCAAGTTTAGTAACAATAAAAGTAGAGAAGAGGAAGTAGTTAAGAATGACGGCCAAGACATACCCAAAAGAGCGTGCTTTTGATATCTTGGATCGATAATCCAGGAAAATGGAGAGATTGAGGAATGTCGCACATAGAATTAGAGTTGGGTGGGCGAAGTGGAGATTGGAACTAGTGTTTTATGTGATCACCACATACCAACGAAGCTAAAGGGCAAGTTCTATAGGAAAACTACGAGACCGGCTTTACTTTATGGGGCGGAATGTTGGACAATCAAGAAGCAACATACCCATAGGATGAGTGTAGTTGAGATGAGGATGTTAAGATGGATGAATTGGATGACAAGAAGGGATAGAATTTGAAATGACTACATTCAAAAGAATTTAGGTGTGGCACCAATAGGCAATAAGATGAGAGAAAGTAGACTTGGGTGGGTTGCTCGTGTGCAGCGAAGACCCAGTACGTCACCTGTTAGGAGGTATGAGTTAGTTCAAGTGAAAGACTAAAAAAGGGCAAGGGGTAGGCCCAAAAGGACATGATTGGAAGTAATGAGAAAAGTATGGGGACTTATGGCTTCATTGAAGGTATGGCCCCATTGAAGGTATGGCCCTTGATAGAGCTGAATGGCAGATCAAGAATCATGTAGATGACCCCAAATAGTTTGGGAAAAGGCTACGATGATGATGATTAAGGAGGTAGAATTTGTATTGTTGCTACGTGAATTGTTGTCTAGGCTGTATAAAGTGGAAAATAAAAGGAAATGATTACTAGCCTAAACTGATCAAAGTATACTTGATAAACATGTTCGATGAATTTTGTGTTTGGGAAGGCTGGACCTTCAGATTAACTCAACTTTAATTACACTTACCCCTCCCCTCGGTGGAAGGGGTCTAATTGGTTGATAGTATGTGCAAGATTTTGGCAAGTATTCTTGTAAGTTCTAGATTGAGAGGCTAATTGGATTGCATCCTTCCATCACCCTTAGACACATTTACCAACAGTAGAGAATTCTTGGGTTGCTGGTCGGATATCAATGTTTTCAGTCTGGGCCAAGAAAAGGCTCATGACTATTCGAGTTTCTTGACTGTTATATTCTTTATTCGGATTTTGGAGCCAATTGGCAAGGATGGATAGGGAGTGTATATATGCCATATTTTTCTCAATCTTGATTACTAGATTGTAGCATTATAGCTTATTTAAAAGCTCAAGAAGATAATAGGTGGACCATTCCTTATTCCTTTTCCTTTTCAATCTTGTGGGGGATGGCTGTAGTAGATGTATCAATAATGCAAGCAGGAGTTGATCAAAGGAAAGCCTTTAGAATGAAGCATGGACTTTCCCTCCATTTTATAAGTTGTACTTCAATGTTCTGTCGAACCTCTTCAGCTTAGGCCGGGATCCTAATAGCCCCTCTTGGGAGTGGCCACTATTTTGCTCTTGAAAAAAATTTAGAGCTATGATCGAGGGAAATATTTATGTTATGAAAGATACCATGGTGTTAGAGGGAAATAATTTTTTATTATTGTTGAGGAAATAAATTTTAACACAATTTGATAGACTGATATCACAAATAGAATCTGGAATATGAAATCAGATTGAAGAACTAGGGGGGGGAATTAATGATGGTATAGATACCTTGAAATGCCAAATACTGGTAAATCAAGCGTCAATAGTTGTAAGACTTGTGAAACATATGGCCAGTTCCTCGTTGCACATGATGCTTAGAAGTTTTGCATACTGAGATGAATAAAATCTATCTTCAAATTATGAAACCTTGTTCCATGAGTTCAGCTGCTATTTTAAACAGTCCATGCATTATTTTACCAAAAAATTGGAATGTCTGCAAAAATAGAGTGTCTTCATATCTTACAGTAAAATAGTAATCATGGAACTTGTGTTCATAAAAGAATGAATATATCCTCTATCAGTGTGTCATACCCAAGCTTTAGAAATGGGTATTGTGCCCTCCTTGCAACTTAGGACGTGACCTACAAAATTATGCATATACAAATATCTTCGCCAGAAGTTACAAATTATTGAATGGTTCTTTTTGTTGGTGATCTTCTCAACCTATAAACTTTTGGTGGTTATTTTCATTTGTAACCAAACACCCAATTACTTCTTTTTTTTACATAATTAATATTGTATCTTTTGGAGATCTTTAACTTATGTAATGTTGTCCAGGATTTCCTCATGATGCCTCCTGGTAAGAGAAAGAGAGAAGATTATGGTTCACATTATCTTTCAAATGGATATAATATACCTCAACAAGATGGAAGTGGAGATATTACACTAGGTTTTGAGGCAGCTGAGGTTTGTGCATGCTCATTGTTTATTTGTTTATAAAATTGTGTGTTTGTTATTGTATTGCTGAGTTTGTTAGTTCTGCTAGATATTACTCTAGGTTTTGAGGAAGCTGAGGTTTGTGCATACTCATTTGTTTATTTATTTATAAAATTGTGCGTGTTTGTTATTGTATTGCTGAGTTTGTTTCCTTTGCTAGATATTCATTTATTGCCTAGCATCTTTATTACTCCTCCGTCTCTGGAATGCTCATTGCATTTTTTCCTTACTCATCTTTGCTTCTGTAAACATCTATGCATCTTTGCAAGATGTGCAACTTGAGGTAGTCTTTTCGATAAAATAAATGATAGTTATAAAAAATGAAGAGAAATGTTTACATTCAGTGATTTCCATGAACTTCTGGAAGCTAGTTATTGTGATTCAATATAGTAATGATTTTAGTTGATGTGCAAGTTGATGTTGTCTTGTCGATGATAAAAAATTTTACTTGTAATAAACTGAAGAGAAAAGTTCACAGTCAATGTTCTACAATACAAATACATGAATTCTAGTGCACTTGTTGGGGTTGGTTATTGTTTTTATAATAGTTGTAATGATTTAAGTTGATGTTGGTAGCTGAAAATTGTGTTCTATTTATTTCTATCTGAGAGGATTCCATTTTCCATTTGTATATCCTTTTGTTGTGTAATGTAGGACAATCAATGCTAGGACATGTTTCTGTGTGATTAAAGAGCTAAAGGCCTTTAACAGTTGCCTCTTTGTGCTTCTTTGCATGAAATACATGCAGCCTCGTTCATTTTCTTATTAAAATAAGATGAACAATGTGTTTTTATTTGTTGGGCTAACTTTCTTCCTCAAGATCTTGGTCTTTGAGAAGCACCTACTGTCCTCTGATGATTGAGACAAGAGGATCTCTGCTTTAGGAGGTTTGAGAACTGGTTTGATGAGATTTGACTACTGAGAACTGGTTTGATGAGATTTGATTGTCTTAAGTTTATCCTATAGGTTGTGTTCCCAGTGCACATGGCCTTGTTAACTTGGTGGGTTAGGGCATTTTGGATGTTATACAGCAAACAGAGGTTTCTTTTTTTATTTGGATGGGGATGACACAATCATCCCTTTTCATTTAAAATGGGGCAGAGAAACAGGACTTACTCGAAGTAGGTGGAGCAGGTAGACATCCTGTTTCAGTTGAGCGGGGGCAGATACATGGAAATACTTCAAATGGTTTAATCCAAACTGGCCCTTGGTGTTGGATCCTTTTGGGGTGGGGTTACTGAAATTCTTGTTCTAAACAGCAATCAGGAGAGAACCATTCATTAGAATGATTTATGTTGACCTAGTGATATTCATGCATTTTAAACGACCTCATATTGCTTTATAACACATGTTCCCAGTAGTAATCATTTGCACTTGTATGTCTAGCAACCATTTCAATATGTTCCTGGTAATCATTGGAATGGCACCCGGCACTTTGTCTTAATAGGATGCATTTCTATATGTTGCCACTTTTACCCTTTTTTCACGTCATGTCTTCTCATGTGTGCATTTGTATGTCAAATTTCATTCTGAATATTTTAGTAGTAAGCCTCTCAATAACTAAGGGGAAATGGGAAATGCTTTTAAGTACATGAGCTTTTTTTTTTTTATCGCAAATGTGTTTTTCTTTTTCCATCAATTTGATTGCAAATTTTTTTCAAATAGTGCTTCTCAAATTTGCAATTGACCGAATTGCAATTTGGTCAATCGGCATTTGCTCCCTATGGGTGTTTGATTGTTGCAATTGATTATGAATTGTAATTATGTGGTTTGATGGTATGGTGGCAGTGATAGTGTGATGTTAGTGGTATAGCAGGACAGTGGTGGTGTGGCAATGCAATGGTGGTGTTGGTTGTTGGAGCAAGTAGATTATGGTGCTGGTTGTAGTGGAGGTGGTGGTAGCAGTTAGGCGGTGGCGGGTAGCTAGTGTCATGGTGGTGGCATAGTGGTGGCGCGATGGTAGTCCTGTAGTGCCTAGGCAGTGGCTGCAGTGGTGGTGGTGGTGGAATGGTGGTGGCTAGGCAGTGATGGTGGTGTGGTCGTGGGAATGTGATGATGGTGGTGGATAGAGTATATATATATATATATATATATATAGAGAGAGAGAGAGAGAGAGAGAGAGAGAGAGAGACTGGATTTTTGCAAAACAACTTGGAGTAGTTCTGCAAAAATTCAATTTGGAGCCCAGTTGCATTTGGGAATTAATTCAAATTTGCGAATCAAACATTGCTTAGGTTAAAAGTGCTGGTGAGAAAATTTTCCACTAGGCCCAAATTTGGCTAGGAAATCAAAGAATGCCTTAGTTTTCTAGAAACTAACCCTGTGAGTTGCTTTTGAGAAACAACCTTATGCTTTTGTTTGGGGGGAAAGGTAAGAGCAACCTTATGATTTAGATTTTAGATTAAGATCGACTTCTATGTGCATAAATTGAAAATGTCTCTCAACATTCATTCATCAAATATGCCCTGATGATATAGCCCCTAACCTTGAGGTTACCAGTTGCTTGTATACTGTAAATATGTCACAGGGCATAATATGCATTGTGCTAATTTAGGACATCAGAACTGAAGTGGAGCTCCCCTGCGAGCGAGCAGCGAGGCCCCAGCTTTGCTTGCGAGGGACAAATCTGGTCGCCTCATTGGAGGCCCAAAAAACGGATCTTATTCATTTCCTCTTCCATATGGCTGCAATCTGTCAGCATTAGTCAGTCCAGCACATGATCGGCGACCCTGGTGCCCGACCTGGGAAATGCTATTTCGAGCCATATTACTTATTTGTTGCCGTAATTATTTATTATATGCTAGGAAGTTTCTTTGTAGTAGTTTACTGTTGAAAAACTTCAAAAATCAATTTTTGAACAAGAGCTAGGTTTCAGTTTGATATTATATATCAACATTATTCCATCTTCAGGTGAGGTTACCAGATTATATGTGCAAAACTTATTCTGTCACCCCCCACTACCCGATTCTCTTTCGACAATGCTGTATTTTAGTATTTTTGTGAAAGGTACTGTTAGACATGTATAAGACTTGCCATTTCTTGACCATTTTTTAAGGGAGTCAAAGTAATGGCAATTCCATATTGGTATCAGGTTTACAAAAAGGAATGAAAAATAGAAAATATACTATAATATACTCTACACATGGACACATACTGTGTGGCCCTCATACTGGCTATCCACCATTCCATGGATCGTCTGGATGAGCCACTTCTCTGCTTTAAAGTCGGACATTGATCATAATAAGCAGAACGGTGGCTATCTCCATTTTCATTGGTAAGGGTGGACAGTGGATCTGCGGTCTTTATACCAAGTTATATACACATGACCTATATACTGTATAGACCTTGAGAAAAGAAACAACCTGGTTCTTTGTCGGCTTCATTACAAACTTACACTTTGGGACTTTGCATATTTCAGGGGAGCCAAAGCAGAAGTGCATGCACAATGAATGATGGAACTATAAACAAAGAGATATCAGTGATACCAGAGAGGAGAGCTGCTCCAAGAATTCCACAAAAAGATGGCATTGACGACAATTACTTGGATGTACAGCACTTCTTATGGATCCTTTAAAGTGATGCTTTCTTTTCTATGTTCTCTCTTAGTCTTGGTTAACATTACCATTCATACTTATAAGCCGCACCTTTTTCCTCCATAACAGGGATTTGTCAATGAAGACTATAATACACCTCTGAACCATGGTAACTTAATTTCATTGCACTGTTTTGAATGGAAGTTAGACTACCATCTATTAGATTGTGGTCCATGAGGTCGTCTCAGTTAATCGGAATGGACTGTGACAGAGAGAGTGAGACCCACCGGAACAGGGCATGTCCTAGTTGGTGTTTGTCACTCTCTTTCCCTCACTGTCCATTTCTCCGGATGATGAATACTCGCATGAAAGCACCTTAGTTAATTGGTGAACATATATTGTAATCAATAGCATTATATTTTACTTTCCCTAGAGGAGTTTGCGTGGCTAACCTCGAAAGCTCTGTGGTGTAGATCCTCTGCAGGGAATCCATAATATTGGCACTCCAAGGCCGACCAAAACTGAAGCAACCGATGATGATGAGCCACCCTTAAATGAAGACGACGATGATGATATAGATGATTTCGAGCAAGGAGATGATGAGCCTAGCACACACCATTTGGTTTTGGCTCAGTTTGAGAAAGTATGAGTCCCCTCCCTCCCACCCCCCACCCTTCCTCTCTCTCTCTCTCTCTCTCTCTCTCTCTCTCTCTCTCTCTACTCTCTACCTACCTACCTACCTACCTACCCTACTACCGACCTAACCCTACCGTAACGTACCTACGTAACCGTACCCTAACC